TTTTTGCAATTTGCATATATGCAAAAACGCATAAAAACGCATATTGGGAAGAGGCTGTCTGTGTGTATTTGTGTGTCTGTGTGTTCACACTTTTTGTCACCTACTTTCAACTCGAGAACCAAGAAAGCTAGAAAGCTGAAACTTTGGGATTATGTGCCCATACCATGCGCGGCCCTCTTGTTTTAATTTCATCCCCCGCGGACGCCTGGGTGCTGCGTACGGATGCTTTAAAAAAAATATGCAGGTTTTTTGGCGGGAAAGGAATCCCAGGAACTGCATGAGCTAAGGGTCTGAAACTTTTTAGGAATATTCCCTTTGCGTTTACTAGCTAAAGGTTTCAAAATCAGCCCCAGGCTACGCCTGGTACTCATGTAGGGGCGCATGAAAATTTTGATGGAAAAATTGTTATCTCGGGAACCAGGAAAGCTAGAAAGCTGAAATTTTTAGGGAATGTCCACTGTCCAAGTACAATCCAATATTTCAAATCCAACCCTCGGGTATGCTCTGTATTCATACAGGGGCGTATGAAATTTTTTGCGGGAAAATTACTAGCTTGGAAACCAGAAAGCTAGAAGACTGAAATTTTAGGGCAATGTCCCCTGTCTGAGTACAACTTAAGCATTTCAAATCCAACCTTGAGATATGTGTGGTCCTTAGTACGGGCATTTAAAAGTTTTGACGGGAAAGTTTCTCACTGAAAAGCTAGGTTACTTTTAGAGAAAGGCCGTTAACTGGTGATTGTACATTTACTTTTTGCAAAATTTATGGTGATTTATGCTAATGATAGCAAAAGGTAGGTGTGAAACAGCAACTATATGATCTGAGTACTTCAGGTCCTGTGCAAAAACAAATGATCGCACGGGCCCACTCGGTGTTTTCCAACCTGGGTTGATTTTAAACAGCAAGGAGCTTTATTCATAATTGTTGCAGAGGAAGAAATTAAAATTTTCAGGCACATATGACTACAAAGACTAAAAAATGTTTTATCATCCTTGATCCCTACAGCTGTATTTTCAAATCGGTAATACTATCGCCGGCCCCGTTATCACTGCCATTTCCATGATCACCATTATTATCTTCGTCAACACCCTCAGTTCCATCGTTTCCGTCATCACTGCCAGTTTCGTCATTAGCAGCATTATTTTCATGATCACTATTATTTTCATTATCACCAACATCAATTCTACTATTTTCACCAGCCTTGGCATGCAAAATAATAATTGAAAAAAATTCCGGTAAGCTGTTTGCATCAGTAATCCCATAAACATCATTCACTGCAAGAAATTCGCTAGTGAGACGGTCAAGAAAATAAACAGACAAAAATTCAGTAAGGTACACGTCATAGCTATCATGAATTCGCATCCCTCCAAAAAACTCTTGTGGAGGTTGAAATCCAGGATCGGTCGACCGAATACCGGAGAATTCATACAACAGCTCATAATTTGAGCTATCGAGATCTTTGCATACCCCTGAGAGCAGCAATGTCGAATCGTCTTCAAAGTGAATAGTAATACGGACAACAAGTTCAGTATGAAGCTCATAAGGAGTCTCGTCATCAAGATGCGAACCAAATAAGCTTGCGAAAGCATTCTGCTGGAGATTTTCATCGTTACCGGCTTGCTGCTCGAGTAAGTCGAAACTGTGTGGTCCCTACAAAAATTTTGGTTATCACATATGTGAATTTATAAATAACTTTTTTCTAAAAACTCTCACATGGTTTTCAATTAATTTTAGAACTCTTCCTAAATTTGCAAATTTTAAGCTTGTAATTACTTTCCCTTGGGTATACGCTAGGAAAGAAGCCTTTTCCAGGCGTGCGTCAGTTGGGAACAAGAAACACAGTAGAGGACGGAGAGCCCGATAAATACAACAACTAATGGAACTTCCAGCGATGATACGCAAACACTATAGCAGTGGAATTCGTGCGCAGCATTCTGCGCGGAAGATTCTGAGTTCGCAATAAGATCGCCCCATACAGGTTTCGTTCAATTCGTTCCAATTTCCAGCGCAGCTTTTTATTGTGTTCCTCGGTTACGGGTCAAGCGTCTTTTCCTCTGTTCTTTTAACTGTGTTTTCGGTCGGATTAATCTTACATTTAAATATTATTTTGTTCGTTAATCTTCTGTCGCTACTTGTTATATGATATTGTTGTTTGTACTTTATTCCGCAACTGTGTGCTTTCAAAGGCCTTGTAGCCTTTTGTGCTAACTCATTTGCTGCGTATAGGTCTTACGACATGCCTCGTCAACAGCAAATTCGAAAAACTTCTACTCATTTAAAATAAAAGTATCGATGATTTACCGTCTGCGCTGCTGATCCACTCAAGCTCGACAGGAAAAATGCAAAAAATGTAATACACTTTTTCATTTTCTCAGATAGATCCTGAAATTTTTTTGCAAACAGAATGCTTAAATACGCAATAAAACTAATGCACCATATATCATCATCACTGGACCGAGTTTTGACAGTTTTTCTTGCTTGCGATTGTAAACTATCTAGCAAGCAATTGATTTTTTATAGTGATTTAAAAAACTGTTTCATGGGGTGCACTTTGCTCGGGAACAATAACTCGAATTTCATATTCTGCTTGTTGCGGCAATTCAGTGGTACGAGCTTTGAAGAATGATCGTAGTAAGTGTGTGAGCCATTATCGGCAACTCGGCTATTTAAGAAATTTTTGTGCAGCGTAAGATAACTCCTACTGCATTTTTTACGTTTCGCAGTCATTACATAAACTAAAGCAAAACGACCGCTAAATGAAAGGAAGACTCATAAATGCGGTAGAAAACATAACGCATTTTTATGCGTTTTTGCATATATGCAAATGCGAAAACGCATATTGTGACGACCCCGGTGTGTGTGTGTGTGTATGTGTGTGTGTGAGTGTGTGTGTCTGTCCGGGTATTTCAACTCGGTACCCAAGCAAGCTCCAGAGCCAAAATTTTGCAGGTGGGTTCCCCGGTCAAGTGCCATCCCAGCAGCGCGGTACCAACCCTCAAGCACGTCTAGGCCCCGCGTACGAGCGGCTCAAAGTTTTGGCGGGAAAATCGCTAACTCGAGAAACAGAAAAGCTAGAAAGCTGAAATTTTGGG